CTTGCAGAAGCTGGGCAGAGTCTGTGGCTGTAAAGTTGGCCCATTTTAGGGAGGCCCAGATAGCAAGATCAAGGACTGGAGCTCTGTGACTCCAGCTGCTGTCAGTAGATTTGTATGCAGATGGAGGGGGCAGTGGATGACTCAGATTTTATCGAAGATGTAAATGATTCTCACAATTAGTAAACATGCTTAAGAAAGCCCCTAATCAAGCGGGTGATGCGGGAGGGTTGAAGGTCAGGAAGGATCCCCTGCCATCAGCATGTCACACCCTTATGGCTGGCTGATCTTGGTGCACTGTAGAACTGCCAGTGTCCGCCATCCATCAGCAGTTCTGCTGGAAATCCTTTCTGGAGAAGTTCAACTTGATCATAAACATTTGTTCTATGACAAAACTTGGCAAAATCAGCAGCTAGAAAGAAGCTTTTTTTGGAGGGGTGGTGCTAGATTGTTGTTTTAATACAACCTGTCAGAGCCCAGAAGGTTGCAGAGCTGCCAAGGGAGAAGGGGTGACTGCCAGGAGTGCCATGATGTCCCCACCAGCCACCATGGCCAAAGAGCAGCTCTGTTGGTTAAAGCAACAAGAGCCTAGAAACGTCTGGCTTTCTCCGAAGGATGTGTTGTCTCACAGCGCAAACCCACAGCGCGGGAGGGAGCTGATGTCTGCTGCGTCTGACTGTAAAGTTTCCTGATGATTTGTCTTTTTTTCCCCCCCCTAGCAATTTATATTTAAATTTTTTTAAAGCTCTCTGGCAGGAAGACCCTTGCAGGACGAAGGCCGCTGTGAATAAAACAAGCGGATGATCTCAGCCCGCAGTATCCCTCCTCCCCTCTTCCTTGCGATACTGCAGCTGGTAGGGCTGGGGCGGGAGGCGAGTGGCTCCGGGAGGGATGCTGGAGCTTGCTCCCCCACAAACTCCGTCTTTATGGACCTTGCAACATGCCCCGAAGGTCAGCCTGTTTACCCAGACACTGTTTGAAGGGGCCGAGGAAGGCTATTAGCAAACACTGTCGGGGCCGATCCTCCAGCGCTTTGCGCGGGGTCTGATCTGGCAGGATCGGGCCCGCGGATCGCCGGATTTTCCTGCCGTGCACCCGCAGCGACCAGTGACATCGTGGGCATCGGGGGCGAAGAGGAGGAAGGGCGGGTGGGCAAGCAGGGGGGGCTGGCAGCCCCTCTCCCGCAGCCTCTCGCCCAGGTGCCCCACCCGGGGCCGTGGCAAAATGTCCCGTGTCCCTAAATCCACGGGCACGACAGACACTGCAAGCAGCAAAAACAAGAGGTTTTTGGGGATCCTGAAATGCAGTGTGCTGCCTGAGGACAGTGTACAAAGTCTGCTTCTCCTTTTATTTTTTTTTTCCTTCTCCCCTCCCCGGTTCCCCCGCCAAATCCTTAGTTTTTCCATCTGCTCGAGGCCACATCCCATGCGGAGCCTTGGGAGGTAAGCAGTTTGGGCGGGTAGGAGAGGAAGCTGCAGAGCCCTAATTACTCAGCCAGTCTGGCCCTCGGGCGATCCCATCAAAGCGGCTCAGAGAGAAAAGGGACGGGGCAGAGGGATGTGAGCCGTCTCAAAACGCTGCTGCCTGGGTCACACCACCTCCCTCCGACGGGGCAGCCCGCTCCAGGAACGGGGCCGTACAGCAAGAAATGCCTCTGCCCGCCCAGCCCCCTGTCACCCTGAGAGCAACCTCTCCTGCAGGGAGGAACTGCAGGGAACGGCTTTCCAGCCTCCCACCCTGGCCCGGGACTAGGGCGTATCTGAGCTCAGGCACTGGTGTTTTTAAACACCGTTATTAAAAACTACCCAACACATATTAAGCTGTGAAACCCTTTTAAATGGGACACAAAAGTGCATATTCTACTTTGGTATTTCTGCCTGGTTAGGTTACGGATCCATACCAATACTGACCTTAACAGCTCAATTAATTTACCATAAAGATCTAATTTTTTTAAATCATCCTGATACATCCCGTCCTCTAGAAATTCTTACTTATTTTATTTTGAAAGAAAACCTCCACACATTTGCTTTAAAAAATAGCCTTGCAGTAAATGCAAACAAAAAAAATATCCCAACTTGTAGAACTGGAAGTTGGGATATTGTGGCACCAAAAATAAATCTGATGGAACAAAAAGGGAATTTCATGTGGTTTTCATTGTCAAGTCTAAGCTCAGAAACAAACAGGAAATAAAAATGGCTAAAACAAAAGAGATTTCTTTTAAAGTGTGTTCAAATCTAAGTGGGGAGCTGCTTTATGTGGGAGGGATTCTATGTTTATTTGCTTTTCAAAAAAATGAGTAAATAAAAATGTCCACATGCAGACAGGTCAACTTGATTTACAGTTAAATCCTCAGGCTTCACAATGGTCATTTATAATCAGCTTTTCTAAAGAAAATTAGACTTGCATAAATGGCAGCACTGGAAGGGGAGAAGAGACAATGGGTGGTGGGAAGGATGCTTCGGCTTTAGATGAGGTTGATGGCAAGAAGGAACGAGGAGGGAGAGAGGTGAAAGTAACTACAAACTCTCCAGTTGCTAATTTTATTCTATTTTTGTACTTTTTCAGTTTTTGCAGGTGCTGAGCCTTCCAGCCCATGCCACACAATTGAAGCTCCCCAAGTAGCAAATAAATGTAGTTATTTAAAAAGAGTAGCCTGTAGAACCAGGACTATGAGATCTAGAGTGGCATATGTACTATATCCTCCCGCCAGAGTTTCTTAGGTTCTCAGATTTGGGATTGTGGAACTTGTTTGATAGGGGTTTACAAACCGGTGTCTTAATCACAGTAGTTCTTATGGTGATTTTGAGGGGTTAATTTAGTTCAGGCAGGACCCAACTTCCCCAACCTGGGGATCAGCTGAAATCCCTAGTAGCTGCTACAGCCCTATTAATGAATCTCTGAACATTTTGAACAGTTGAAAAGTGAGATGGACAAAATTAATAGCAGTTTCTGCAAACCCGGCTCTGGTTTCCCTCTTCTTTTGCACTATTCAACAGTGTGTAAATGCTTATTTACACACTGGTGGAGTTGCGGTTTAGGAGACAGCAAAGAGCATCAGATTGAGGGTCTGGGAACAGAGACTGTATTTCTAGGGCAGATCAACTAATTTTGCCAGAGCTCAGTTTCTCCTCTGCTCAACAGAGATATTTCCCTTCATGCTACAGCATCCAGAGATTCACCTACGGAAAGGCTAGGAGGCTCCTGAGAAGAGAGATCATACGGTGCAGCTCTTCAGAAGCGAGTGCTACGAGCTTGAACCTGTACCCTGCCAATCAACAGGAAATTTCCTGTTCGTATGCAGAGGATTGCCCCCTTCCTGAATCTGCTTGGTAATACTCTGACACTCTCCATCTCTTTTCAAAGCCTCATAATAGAAATGTTTCTCAGCTTCTGCCCAGATAGATCTCCTAGTTCCTTCCTGAAAACAACTTTTAATAGTTAATTTTTGCTGAAAACCAACAGATCCACTGCTAACCATCCCACAGGAATTTGTAGCTCTGGCTAGGTTGCAGTACCTGTCCTCCTCTGGGGTTAGAGGGAGATGAGGATTTCAAGCAAAACCTTTCCCACAGAAGCAACCCCCTCTGTGCCGAGTCTGGCCTTGGTCCCTTGTGCTGCCAAGCTTCCAAGATCAGCCTGTGGACTCCCTTAAATGCCCCAAGGAAGCCCAGAGCTAATAACCAGCTTCATTCAATTCCCAGTCACATTATTATCCAATCTGCCAGAGGCATTAATATTCAGAGGTGAGGTGGGAGGAGGGCAGGGGTGCTGGCAAGGGGGAGCAGCACACAAAGGGGAGGAAGGGAAGTGTGGCGGACTGGCCTCAGAAATCTTCTTTCTCCAGCTGTCTGAAACCCCAGCCCATTTCAGCTGGGTGTTGACAAGAGAGGGTTCTTCCTACAGCCTCAGTGCTAACTTCAACACCAGCTGGTGGAGGCTGTTCCCCAGCCAACAGCAAATGCCCGGCCTGGGCACAGCCTAATGCCTTCAGCCCCGGTGGCCCACAGCAAGAGAGAGAGCTTTGCCCCCTCTGCCATCAGGCCGTAAGTAAATAGCAATCTCCCATTTTTAAACAGCCAGAGAAATAGATAAGCCTGTTCAGTGATGCCACAGCCTCCTGTTTCTGACCCTCCTCCCTTCATAGCCCCACAGTCTCATCCCGCTGCCTTCCTGATGCAGGGCACATAGCATGAAACCAGCAGTTCTCCCCATCTGGGACTTCGTTCCCAGCCCAGGTACCTCCCCTGTCCCCAAAGCCAGGGCACATGTGCCAGGTCACGAGACAGACCTCATGTCCCCAGCTCATCTCATCTTCCTTTCGGAGCGGTCTCCTAGATCAGGTTTCTGGCTTTTTCTTTTTGGCAGTCTCCAAAGTCAGCCTCACCTCTCAATCTCAAGGTTTTGGGTAGCATCTGACAGAGGGAAGATGCCATTCTTTTTTGCCACCTCTCTGTAGGGTACATTAACCAATGCTTTTGCAATCCAATCACAATTTGCGGATCTATTAATTGCCTGAATTAAGCCCTTATAGAAATGCAATAGATATTAAGTGAGGCTTGCAACAGTTTCTCTGACAGAGATTGATATTGCTTCTTAAACTAGTGTCTTGGACAGGAGACAACTCAGGAGACAACTCAGGAACATAGGTGGGCTTTCATGGGGAGAACCTGGGCTGCAGGTCAGGCAAACTCAGTAATTACAGTAATAGCAGGAAAACCACCACCCTCGCCCAGACTCCTCGCCAGGCTGTCAGGGAAAGACATCTCCCTTGTGAGGGTTCCTTGTAAGGAGTACTGGGCATGGTGCAACAATTTGTTAACATAAAATAATAATAATAATAATAATAATAATAATAATAAAACCCTACTCCACTTCAGCAGACATTTACAGAGACTGAAAGCAGCTACCATGCTTTGAGAGTCCCTCAGGAGCCGGTAGGCTCCTTTGTCCCTCTCAGCAAGGCACCATCAAAGCCTGCACAAACACTCATCCCTTCAGCTCACCGACAGACTGAGGGGCTTGGGAGGTGGTGCAGGGAGCCAGGGAGACCCCGATCCCATCGCCAAAAAAGTGATCCTTTCTCTGTCTTTGTAAGGTGGGACAGGAACAGAGGTGACTCTCCTGAAAGACACTTTTCTGAGCAGTTGCTTTTAGCATCTCCCGAAATTGTAGAGGGGATAGAGCCATTTCATCCCTGGCATCCTCCAGGTCACAGGCCATGGGTGGAAGACCTACAAGCTTGTCTGGGGGACGACAAATTCCTCTCTTTGCCTTCAACCCTAGACTCCACTTAGAAAGTGGACAGATCGTGGGCCCGTCGGTCGGGAAGCTGCCTCCCTCTCAGGTGAAGGAACGGGGAGGTAGATGACAGACTAGTTTTGATTCCTGCGCCGCCAGCTCGAAGCATCAGCCGGGTGCGGAGGCCGGGTGCTCACCCCCCCGAGCTCTGCCGGGCACCGGCGTCCTGCAGCAGCGTGTTCCTCTGTGGCCGCCCGTGCGTTGCCGAGCTCCGCAGCCGGTAACCCCCCGGGCCGGGCGGGAAAGGGGCGCAGAGCGGTCGGGGGACCGCTGCCTCGAGCTGCCCAACCCCAGCAGGGACGGAGGGGCTGCGGCAACTCCCTCCAGAGCCTCCGCAAGGCCCTGGCGCTGCCAGGGGGGAATCCAGCCCCCTCCCCGCTCGTCCCCTCAGCTGTCCAGCCGCGGGGGCGCCGGGTGAGGGGCCGACAGGTGTGTCCCGCTCGGCGGCACCGGGCCCGCCGCCCCCCCCTCGCCGAGCCCGCTCCAGCAGCTGCGGCGACGCGCGGGCATCGGCCCCCGCCTCGGCCGCCCTCCCCCTCCAGAGCCGAGGCCGCGGGACGAACCCGTTCCTTACTCCCGCTCTGAGGAGGAGGTCGGGGGAAAGGACAAGGGGGTGCCGAGCTGGCGAGCTGGCCCTTCTCCCGGAGCCGCACTCGTTGAGCGGGGAATAGCCGGGGGAGCGGACGGTATCGGTCTCCGTCGGGCGCCCGCTGCAGTTGGCCGGGCTTCGCAAGCACCAGCGGGGCGGAGGGACGCCAGTTTACACCGTGTCCCCGGCGCCGGGGAGGCGGGAGAGCCCGTGCAAGCGCCCGGAGGTCCGACCGCCGGTTCTGCCCGCAGACTCCCAGCGCCGGGCGGCCGCGCTCCGCCAGGGCGGCTCGATGTCCCCGGCAGAGCCGCCGCGGGGGTCGGCGCTCCCGCCCCCGCGGCCCGACCAGGTCTGTTATTCCCGGTCGGATCCCCGGCACCCTCCGCCGGCGCGCCGCAGCCAGCGGCGTCCCGGGGCAGGTTCGCTCCGTCCGCGGGGGCCGGCTCGCCTCTTCCCGGCGCTACAGGGAGGTCGGCTCTGCTGTAAACAGGAGCTAGCCCATTACATAAATATCATTTATCCAACTGTCCAAAAGCCGTCGGGCTGCCTTCCTTTTCCCCGGCGACGTCTCCCCGCCTCTGCTCCCCGCGCCCTTCTCTCCTGGACCCTGAAGACAGCTGAGCCGCAGCCCGCAGCGCCGTTATTTACAGCGAGCCCCGGCTAATTTAAACAGCCCCTGCCCCGCTCGCCCGAGTGGAAAATGACTAAGTTTAGTAACGGCAAGAGATTCCGGCTGCGCTTGTTGGGAAGGGGCCTGCGACGGCCTCGAGGGGACGGCCGGGGCTGCGGCAACCCGGTGGCGGCGAGTGGGGGGCCGCCGGGCCCTACAAGGACAGAGCAGTGGAATCGCCGCGCCCTGCCGGGCAGGCAGCGCTCCCCGCAGCGACGGGGGACAGTTGCACCGCGCACAGCCCCGGGACCCCTTCTGGACGGCAAGGCAGGGCACGATCCGCCCGCTCGCACCTGGCTGCCGCCCCTTGCCCCCCGGGGAGGCGACGGAAGGCGGGCCCCGCGCGGGAGCGGGACTGCCCCGGTGCTGCCGGGCAGGGAACGCCGAGCCGCCCCGCTGAGGATGCTCTTGCCCTGTGCCAGCGTCGAAAAGGTTACGGCCGGCCGGGCTAGCATGGAGGGGCTCACGGAGAAAGAAGGGGAGAAGCCCGCCCGGAAGGCTGAGGACGGAAAGGCACTTACAGCGGCTCCAGATGAGGGCTCGGCTGGGCGGCCTTAATCCTGAGAGAGGGGTGAAGCTGACCCCCGCCCCGCGGCCCGGGCTGCTCTGCCGCTGTCAGAAAGTAAATCCCCCCGGCTGCCCGGCCACTCTGCGCCTCGCTGCCGGCCCGCTGCTCACGGGGAGGGCGGAGGCGGAGGGCGCCGGCCGACTGCCTCCCATTCACCCTGGCCATTCACTTTATGGCGGGCGGCCGGCGCCCCCCGCCAGCTGCACCGGGCGCCCCGCTCCCGCCCGCCCCATTCCAGCTGCGCGCCCGCCGCCGCCCGCCCCGTCCAGCGCCGCCCGCCCCGGCCCCGCCCCCGGCCTACGCCGACCAATCGTCCCGTGCCTCATTTGCATACGAGCGCAGCCCGGCTCTCCAATTGGCCGAGGCGGGCGGTAGGCCCCGCCCTCCCCGCACTGGCCCCGCCCCGTCCCGGCGAGCGGGGCAGGGTGAGCGGTGGGGCGGGTGCGGGGGTAGGTCCCGCGCGCGGGGCTGCGGCGCTGCCACCCGGGCTGTACGGGCAGGGTACAGATGTGCGTGTGCACTGATACACTGCTGCTGTCGCTGCAGGTACCGCGTGCCTCCTCCAGTGCTCGGCCACCGGTACCCTGTGCTGAGCATCCGCTCCGCTCAGTACCGGCGCGGCGAGCCTGTTCGGGCTTTGCAGTTAGAGCCACCAGCCAGATAGAGGTTTCTGGGGGAAACCAAGTCCGCAGTCGGCTGCTGGAAGCGTTCCCCTGCACGATGGAGCAGCAGTTGCAGGGGAGGCTTAATCACAGGCCAGTTACCGGACGCACTGTTGCGGCTCTCGGTGGTACCGAGAAGCGCTTCCCTGCCCATACTGTGCCGCTCCTACCGGACACGGCGGCTGCCGGCCGTGCGGGGAACACCGCCCTGCTGCCCGCCGATGTTGCTTGTTGATTTGCACCCCAAATGTTGCTTGTAGCTTAGACTCCAGCCGGGCTCCCACTGAAGTTCATGGCGAAATCCCGGTGCAGGAGGACAGGGTGCGATCCCTCCCCGAATGTCTCCAAGTGCTTGTTCCCGCTACAGCAAGTCTTGAATGTGTTTGCACACACATTTCACTCTAAGCATGCTTACATTGCTCCCACTGCTTACAGGGAAAAGTTTGTAGAAGCCGGGGTTAGTCTTTACGTCCTGCCCTGGATGCTGAGCCCAGGGGAGAGGTTTATCCCTGCCAGGCTCTTAGGGAGCTGGATGCATGATTCTACAGTCTGATTTTCTTGAGGTCATTCCCATGTCAACCTGCTCTCTGACTTATGATGCCAAAGGTCACCATCAAGATCTTCCACTGGCATATTTTAAAGATTAGGAAATAATGTTGTGAGAATAGAAGTGAATTTTAACCCTGGATGATTTACCAGCCATATTTATGGAGCCTGCTAAATGCGTAACATGGCATAGAGATATGCATGGGAAGACAAATACACACAAAGCAGCACAGCAAGTAAAGAGAGGTTAGGTAGACACAGGCATTATGGATTACAGTTCAAAAACATGCACAAATATGTTAATTCAGTAGAAACACAGAGAGTTTAAAAGGAATCAAAATGTTGACACACTTATGAGAAATTACCGTGGTTTTTTAATTGTAGTAATCTGGGGTTTGTGTTTGCCTTACTGCTCTTTTGTCTGCCAAAAATGACAGCAAGCTAGACCACATCTTTTTCCAGCCCAGATTTTAATCCATCCCAGCAAAGGCTTGTCTCCATCAAGAGAAGCAGACACAGTGTAACAGCACTAGCACTTTCCACGGGGCAGTCCGTCTCTATCACCACATGCCACAGGGAAGCTGAAAACCCTGTGCAAGGTCTGCAGCAATGAAGGTACCTTATTTTCAATTGCCTCCCTCTCCCTCCAAACCTTTCACCATCAGTAGCCTGCAGCAAATAAGTTAGTGCTTATACTCACAAGTAATAATGAAACAAATGTATTTTTAGCTATTTCCCTTGGGTACTATGTCACAAGTTTGTTCCCTGTGGAGCACAGCGTGAAGACTGCTGGATTAGACCATCCAGGGACCTGCAGTAGGAGTCTGTCACTAAGGCATCCTCTATGCAACTGCTGGACTGACCCCTGAAGGGTCTCTTTGGGAGGGAGGGCTCTAGTGCTTGTCATTGAAATGTAGATCTTGCTGGTTAGTGTCAAGACCTCTTATCTGTAGTGCATCTTCTCTTGCCAGCTGGAGAATTCATTGCTGAGGAAGAGACCAAGAACTTCACCTGGGTTCAGGACACAGATGTTACTGTTTTATATAAAATAAAAAAGAAAAAAAAAAAAAGAAAAAGCAAACTAAACCCAGAGTGAACTTGATCCATGTCTTGGCAGAGAGATGGGATACGCAAAAGGAGGGAATTACTCAGCATCTTAGACATCCTTCATTTTTCACCAGCTGGGAAGAGTTTGTTCTCAGAGAAAACCCTGTCTCTGCCACAGGCAAACACGGTCCTCATGCTGGATGGGTCCACTGCTCTTGGAGAGTGGCGGAGTTGTTGATTGTTGATCACGGTTTCCATCTTTGTGTCTCAACTGATCTTTTAGCCATGCTGGGTCCATGCCATCAAATGCCTTAAAGATTGGGACTCGGGCTTGAATTTGGCTTGTCTTTCATGCCAGAAGGCAATCTAGGGAGCAGAGGTAAGGTTTGATGCACTTGTGGCAGCCGGGGCTCCCACTGCAGTCTACTCTTCTATTTGGCATTTGCCAAGCACTGTGGGCTTCATGCCCAGGTGTATTATGTAGCTGTAGTCTAGCCAAGACATGACGAAGATATGACTAACTGAGCCTGGGGTGCTCCTGCCAAAAAGGCATGGCTTGCCTTGGCCAAGAAGAGGCAATGAAAACATTGGGAAGTTCATCAGGAGCATTTCATGTCACTGGGAAGTGCAGGAGTGTTCCAGAGACACAGGCTATGTAGAACAGCTGGCAGGGTATTTTAGCCTTAGGAGGCTACAGTAGAGTTTTTTTTATAGTTTGTATAGTTTACACAGAAGGGGTTTAATACTTCTGATTGTTTCAATTTTGCTTCAGTTGCTTCAGTTGTAGGTCCTAGCCTGAGTGCAGGTTGTGCCAGATGCAGCACATCAGTTTTCCTTTGGAGAGCCTTCAGCTTGCTTTGGGCTAGCCTCTACCTGAGCTTGCTCTAGAAAGGAGCAGCTGCTCGGAAACACTGTGTTCTGCATTCAGTAGCGTTTTTGGGATGCTTAACTCTGGGGAGAGTGGCTGCAAGTAGTTTCTAGCCATGACAACTGCTTGTACCTTCTGAGACAACTCCCTCTTTCTGCCCCTTTTCTGGAGACCTTACTAAGCCTCTGAGAAACAGCAAAAGCCTCCAAGAGGAGGGGGAGAAGTTCAGCCTCTGTCAGACTACTTAACCTGCTGGAAAATTTCTGTGTTGCAAGTGCCCATGGGTCTGATATCTGGGCTCTGAAGA